CATAGGGAATCCCCATCGAACGCTGTGCCCTGGGTGTGGGGCAGGAGTATATAGCAAATGTGAAACAGGAAAAACCACCGAAGAAGTTAGCAACCTCTCTCAGACGAGGAGAAGGGAAATACGACTCCCTCCCCCTCCCCACAGCGACCAAATACGACCCATCCCTTTACAACGTCCCTGAAACAAGAACAGTACCTATCAAAAAAATTTCTTAGCCCAAATACGACCTCCCTCTCCCAGCGACCAAATACGACCCCCTCCCCTGTTGGGGAATCCCCAACAACGATGTGCCCTGGCCCTGATGGAGAAGGGAGGAGAGTACATGGAACACTTGAAACAGAAAGAACCGAGAATAGTTTTTTCTCAGAAGCAAATACGACCTCTCACATCCCTGTACGACCTGCCCCTCCCCTCCCACTAGGGGCTCCTAAAGTGCAACAAGCCCTGTTTGTAGCGTTGCCGTTTTGTGGATTTACCGTGCTACACCTGTTCAACCCCTTCATGAAGTTTCCCCAATCTTCCCAATGAAACTGTATTTGAGAGAACCACCCTCGTGAAAATCTACAAGAACTCTGAACGTCTTTTCACATTGCAATCTCTTTGAAATTGTGTCGCTGACTTCTGTAGTTAATGTGCTGCAACTTTAGGATCTCCTACCGTATTCTGCTTGATCAATCGGTGATAGTATCGATCCTCTTTGGAATCCACATGTTCTGCTTTGCACTTTCGTTAATATTTCTCGTGTTCTGCTTTCTGAAGCGGAAATTTGGCACGTTTTACGAAGGTCTATTGCACGCCTATCTGTTGAGCATCGTGAAGTTCTAGATATCGATTTATCGATCAGAGTTCCGCCATCATTACTTTATTTCCAGTTGTTGATGGCTCTGACGTCGCTGTTTGCGGTTATGTTCTTACCATTGGCATTTTTACAACAATCCCATTCACTCGGTGAAGGTAGGACATTTCCTTCGCTCTCTCTGCCTGCAAGATGTTTTATCGATTTATTGATTTTTTTCTCTCGGTGGTACTGCACCGTCAAAGTGTATAGACGTTGCATGGTAGTCAAGTGATTTAGCTAGCCGTCCTGAACTATTGCAATAGTGACTCAGAGGGTGGGGCTTTATAAATCTGAGGTAGGCTACGAATCAGTCGATGATGGAGAGCTCAGTGGTGAGCCCCTCCTTTAGGAAACGCTTCCCATCCATCCTTTGTTCAGAAGTTCCCCCGGTTGTTGACCTTTCACAGTTTTTCCCTTTTTACTGCTCACTTGGTGGCCCGCCTTTGGCGATTTTTTGAGCTGGAGCTGGAAAATTTCCCGCAAAACTGGAAATACCCTAGCGATAGGAGTGCCCTGCAATCCAGTTCACTTCCAACTA